CTCCGCCTCTCCGCCTCTCCGCCTCTCCGCCTCTCCGCTCTTTCGCTCTTCTGCTCCTTTTCCCTTTTTATCTCCTACGCTTTACCCTCGACCTTTATCCAATCGCGTCCCATTGTCTTTGCCCCGATTAGACGAGGAATCTTTTCTCGGCCTCGCGTCCCGTGAATGGCGGAAAAGCCGAGCGTCGGACTAATTGTAAGATTTCGATCGATGGAAATGAAAGACGGCGCGTATCAGCTGCTCGAAGAACGCACGATACACCCCGAAAGTCTGATGACTCGCGATGGTTCGCCTCGCGGCTACACGGGGGTGTAGCTTTCACAAAAGACCAATCAATACACGCGAGGCGATCTAGCGATCTTTCCGTCTCCGTCTACCCTTCGACCGTCTTCCCTTCTCCGACTCCGACACCTCTACACCCCACTTCTCATCGGCCATTCCTCATAGCCCATCCCCAACCCCGCGATACCCGCTGACACCGTTCCTCTTTCTCGCGCTCCTTCGCACCGTCTTCCGTTCTCTTCGTTCGTTCTCGTCCCTGTCTTTCGCCCGGCTCGCCTATTCTCCGTCTCTCGTCGCGTCCCGCCTACCGCCTACTATCAACTTGTCGACATATACCGAAACGACGTACCGCGTATACCTTCTGCTGCCCCTTGGACTATCCGGACCCTCTTTTCTCGATTATCGCTGTACACCGTTCTTTTCTTCTTCCTCCCCCGCTCCCTCCCCTCCTCGTTCGCCTTCTCATTTCGTCTCTCTCTCTCTCTCCCTTGCCTCGTTAAAAATCATGATAACGTCGTATGAAATGCATCTACATAGCCCGTACAACTAAGAACCGCGGTCAGAGCATGCGTAAATTCTTTAGCCGTACGAAAGAGTCCGGAGTACGAGAATCCTTTGATTCGCGTCGGTTACTGGCTCCTTTTTTCTGTTCTCTCTTTCTCTCTGTTGCATCCATGATCCAACATGTGCGCAGCCGTAATCTTTCAATCGTGATTTACCGTATCGCGATTTACGCCAAAGTTCCATCCGCCGCGTACTCCGAAAGAAATTCCACGGAGGCTCGCGGACGCTCGAGTCCACGAGTGTCCCTCCTCTTTCGATGGATTTACGATCGCGCTCGCTCTGTGCACGCGGTGAGGTTCGAATAAAAGTCGCGCGTTGGCCGGAGGCGAATCGAGAGACAAAGGTTCGCGGAGCGAGGCTCGCGGAATAAAAGGCACGGTCCTGGACGAAGCGCAGGCGTTGCTGTGATCGCGTGACGTCACGCGTCTAAGGCACGGGGCGTTATACGCTTATCAATGAACGTACGACGCCTACGGCGGATACCTGTTCTCTAGTGGCAAATACCCTCCCTTACCCACTCTTCCATCTACACCCCATACGTACTGTCCTACGCTTCTCTTCTCCTCGTTCCTACTGTTCCAATTCTTCGAGCCGATATACACCGCCTCCGCGTTCCTTTTTCGTGTCCTACGGTTTTCCGTGTCCTGTCCGAGTCGTGCCCACGCCGTATCCACGCTGTATCCACGCTGTTTACGAGTCGTTTAGAAACTGTTTACATTTCATTTTGTTCGCGGTCCTCGGTCACGATAGCAGTTATAGATAGCGTTCCACCTGAAAACAGCCTGGTCGTTGAACGTCTTTCGACCTGCTGATATTCTACCTTTTCCCTTCCCGAAATTCAACAATTTACTTTTCAATGAATCATATATGCATTCTTCGAGATAGCAAGTACACGCAGACCGTACCGTAGCGTTATCGACATCCCTCCACGAAAGTCGGATACGTTTCGTAAATGCACGCGTAAGGTTTCTCGAAACTTGTTCGGCGACAGGATTGCAATTTTCACAAATTTCCCTTCTCGAGTCTCTACACTGGGGGCGGTACCAATCGATTCTTCGCCGCTCCATCTTTTTTTCTCGAAACTAACGACAACGATGCTTCGCGTATGCGAGAATAAGTTTGCATGTACGCAGCTGGGTACTCGACAAGTTTCATAAATACTTTGTACTTACGTATTCGTCGCGGTATCGAAAAGGACTTTTCTTTATTGCTAGAATTTCTCAGATACCGATAATTATACGAGAGATAAGTTGCAATGTTTATTCTCTAAATCCATATCCTTGATCATTCATTCTCCATAATCCATCCTAATCCATTCTCCATTCTCCATTCTCCATTTTCTATTGTCGATTCTCGATCGGTAGAGAAGCGGAGATGTGGCAGCGGTAAATCGTCGTTCGAGTCGAGTAACGCGCTCTCTCGGCTCGCGTTATCGGTCGATTCGAAGGTGAATCGAATCGAATCGAATCGAATCGAATCGAATCGAGTCGTGTCGAGTCGAGTCGAGTCAAGTCGAATCGACAGCGACGGAGCGCTCGCGTCGCATCCACCTGAACAACGCGCACTCGGTTGCCGTGGTCGAGCCGCGTTCGTACGTGGAACGATAGGTTAAGGTTGGTTGGAATTGGAACCGGCGACGGAGAAAAGTGCTTGCAATATTACTCGTTACTCGTTCTTTCGTCGTCGCACTTGGAACCGCATTTACGAATTATTAACTGGCAACCCGATATTCGAGTATATATCGCTGATTTGTCGATAAATCGGGAGCAATCGCAGAGTATAAGCCGCACGCGTCAACAACAACGATTTCCGTCCGCCGTTTTTCCATTCCAATTATATTATCGTCTGCCACGAGTGAACCACGGCTCTAAATATACGATAGATTCTCGTCGTTTCTTTTTCTATGATGCTTCCATCGATCGCAGTTACTCTTCTTATCATTGGAACAGCCTCTGCAGAGGACTGCAAAGGATGCGTCTCTTTGGACTCGTATTCCTTCGACAAGGTACCTTTTCGTTTCTTTCGTTTCTCTTTCTTTCGCGCAAAGAGACAGAGAGAGATCCGCAGAGATACACCGATTTTTCTTTTCTTCCTCTTTCCGAACACGGCCGAGTAATTGGTTGCCATGGATGCAAGATGCCCAACTGACATCCGCATACGTCTTTACGCGTCTAATCTCGACAATCTAAATGTTTATCAAATTTATTCAGAATAGAAAAGTAATAGAAATATAAAGGAGAAACGGTAAAATAAGAGACATCGCTTAACGATACGTACATATGCTTCTAGGCATCGATACGAGAATACGAATAATATAGCAGTTATGTTACGGTGTACAGGTAATTCCGAAATTCAAAGCGGCGTTAGTAAAGTTCGATGTAGCATTCCCATACGGGGAGAAACACGAGCAGTACGATCAAATAGCCGCAGCCACGAAAGACGCCAACGATCTTTTGGTAGCCGAAGTCAGAGTGAAGGATTACGGAAATAAAGACAATTCCGATTTAGCTGCCCGTTACAAGATCAACTCGGAAGCGTTTCCCGCGGTTTTGCTCTTTCTACAAGGGAAAACAGAACCCATTCCTTTCGTCACCGACAAAGAGAACCAATTTACCGCGGACAATCTCAAGAGATTCATCAAAACTAAGTCGGCCGTGTATCTCGGTTTGCCAGGCTGCGTCGAACAACTGGACAGACTCGCGGAGGAATTCAAATCCAGCAGAGAAAAAGAAAGAAAGGTAATCTCGATCGAAACAATATTACCAAAGTCCGATGGAATCGGCTATACTATTAACAACATTTTCTTCCATAGGAGATACTGAGCAAAGCAAAAGTTTTCGAAGAAACATTGCCCGATGCGCAGCGAGCAGCAGCTAAAGTTTACGTAAAGACCATGGAAAGAATATTAGAAAAAGGCGATGTATTCGTTCAAACCGAACAAACGAGAATAGAGGGTATTCTGAAAGGTAAACTATCGAACGAGAAGAAACGCACCATGGAGGAAAGGCGCAATATTTTACATTCGTTCTTGCGCAGAGACGAATTGTAAGAAATTATCACCTAGATACATACAAACTTACCCGTACGTGTTGTTACAAAAATCTCAACACTAAATTGCTACAGAAAATGTTAACCGATACATTTCAGAGTTTGTTTGTTTGTTTGTATCTTACTTGAAACATTCCACGCTATTCCATGTCGTCATTTATACAGGCGTGACAAGTTTGGGAAAATGGAATTAAACAAAAGTAAAGTATTTCAAAATAGTATCGAATTCGTAAACATGTTAATAGAGCGCAACCACAAACAATTACATCTTGACATCGTTTCGCACACGTTCTGTACCAAAATAGGAACATTTCAAGAAAATTTAATAAGACTGTAATCGAATAAAATTCTTATATGTCCTTGCTCGTATTAGTCGTTCTCTATACTATTTTCTTGTTGCTGTTGATGTTGTTCAACTCCATAGATCCTTCAAGTTACTCTTTTTCTTTTCTTTTCTTCTTTAATAGTATAAATGTTAAAATATTTTCCGCTAAAAGATCACAGATAATGTACAACATTCTTATAAATATTGTCTTATTCGTAAATTCGAAGTTTATTCCACCTGTTTAATAAAATTATTGCTATAAAGTTTTCCTACGTTACGTTCGATGCTCAATATTTAAGCACATGCATGCGTATCAATTTACATCGGAATGTGTTGTTGTTGTTGTTGTTGTTGTTGTTGTTCTTCTTCTTCTTCTTCTTCTTCTTCTATGTTTTTTTCTTCTTTATCAATGCCATCATTTCACCGAGAACGATCCCTTACTTTTCTTCAATGTCTTTCACCTGTAATTCTTCGAGCTCGCGTGATACTTTCGCTATGTCATGTTCCTTATTTGTTTTTCCAATTTGGCTATTTTCAAGTTGTAAACTCTCGTTTTCCGATTGCTTTTTTCCTTGTTCATCGTTGTCGGTACTTTCGCTATAACTTACATCGCTGGAAGGTTCGCTATCGCTTTCCACGTGTTTTTCATCCATGTCGTTTTTCCCGGCATATATTTCACATTCGGAACCTACTATTTTCTTTGCCTTTTCGAATGCTTCTTTCCAAACAGATGCATCTTTTTTAAAGAGAAACATTCATTATATTAGTTACATTAATTACATCGATTCCTATCTCTATTAATGTTTCTTAATAACAATGCTAAACATACTTTCCGCGTTTGCAAATCGTATCGCGAGCAACTCTGGTTTAAGTTGTTCGTCCGCATAATCTGCCAGTACGCTCCATACCCATGCTCTGTCGCTGCCACAGTTTGGCTTTAATTCCATCCAAGGAGTTATAAAATGATTGGCGCAGATTTTGTACGTCTTGTCTCTTCTCATTACAACCCTCACAGTATTTTTGGTTTTATGTCGTAGTAACTTTACTTCACCTGTTCCACGTTCCTTCCATTCGGCAGGATTATTGGATGAATCGTAACGATATAATTTTGCCCTCCTAAAAATGATACACTCGACGTTAATAGAAAACACGAATCGTCAGTTTTGTATAATATGAATGTACATTTTTATCATCTCAACTTCATCCTCTTCGTTATTGGACACTTCTATTAAGGGTAAGGAAATTATTGGTTCAAAATGTATATCATTGTCGGTACCATCTTCTTCGTTGTCTTGAGATTCGCAATTAGCAGTTTTTGTATCAACATGATCCCCGTTTAACTGGAAAATAACAGAAAATAATTTTTACACGCAAACTAATAAACTAGTTTCGATGGTACACTATCGAAAAAATGCTCAAAATATTCGTTCCAAGTTTGCTGAACGCTTATCGGAATTATCAAAGCATACGCCGATATTTATAATAGTTTTCCCTAGTGCTCGACGAAAGTGAAATATATGTTATGCCGGATCAATTAAATAAAGATAACATGTGAATTATAACTATCGTATTTTGTTTTCAAAAGAATGAGGTAATATAACCTACAGTATCAATTTACTAAACAATAAACGGTAATATCTTTTAATAAGGTTAATGTACAAATACAGACAAAAATATATTTACCACGTTTTCGGGCATCTTTTGTGGGTTTCGCAAAGGAAATTCTTCGTTCAATTAACAGATACCGCCAACTCCGGTGTGTTTAATAGCAAATCGAGATATCGTACGATATTGGACTTTACAGCATTCACGATACGGCATATATATGTACATACACACACACATATATATATATATATATATATATATATATATATATATACATATAATATGTACATATATAGTAAGTTTCTAGTGATAACATTCAGTATTACTGA